AAAATGGGTTTTGCGTTTTCAATGTGTGTCAGTATAGTTTATCCACTGACTGCTATAAAGTAAATTCTGTATAATGACTGTTCAACACTTATAAATCTTGAGGCCAAGGTGGGCCTCTCTTTGGCGGCACCTGTGCGGAGTAGCCTCCCTTGGGCAACCCAAAACAGATCTTCATGGGTCCAAATCCTGGTTCATCCCGATTATGATTCTGGGTTTGTTGGTTTCAGGAAGGTGATAAACATCAGAGACCTGCATCAGTTTGGGCTTAATCCACCCCCATCAAGTTGTGATATATCTGGAATACTGTTGGGAGGAGCTGTTGATATTGTTATACCATTCATTCTTACTAATATAGACTTATGATATTAGTATCACTAGTAGATTGTCTCATGAAATAAGGCCATTAGGCTGTAAAGTCAACACATTTCCATCCCTGGGTGCTGATTATATTCTTACAGATTTACAACAGTTGTGGGCGGTGGAGTAGCCTAGTGGTTAAAGTGTTTTCACGCTGAGGACCCGGGTTCGATTCCCCACATAGGTACAATGTGTGAAGCCCATATTTCTGGTGTCCCCTGCCGTGATATTGCAGGAATATTGCTAAAAGTGGCGTAAAACCACTCACTCACTCACTCACTCACTCAGTTATGGTGCTGTTATTGCTTTGTCACCCAGGTCAGTTCATGATGTGCTGTTATTGCACTCTCCTGATGCTGTGAATCAGGACCCTGATGCTGTGAATCAGGTCTCAGCTCTGATGCTGTGAATCAGGTCTACTCTCAGGATGCTGAATCAGGTCTACACTCTCCTGATGCTGTGAATCAGGTCTACCTCAGGATGCTGTGAATCTCTACAGCTCTCCTGATGCTGTGAATCAGGATGCAGGTCCTACAGCTCTCCTGATGCTGTGAATCAGGGTCTGATGCTGTGAATCTTCTCCTGATGCTGTGAATCAGGTCTACGCTCTCCTGATGCTGTGAATCAGGTCTATGCTCTCAGGTCTACGCTCTCCTGATGCTGTGAATCAGGTCTACACTCTCCTGATGCTGTGAATCAGGTCTACGCTCTCAGGATGCTGTGAATCAGGTCTACACTCTCCTGATGCTGTGAATCAGGGATCTGAACAGGTCTCACGCTCTCAGGATGCTGTGAATCAGGTCCTCTCTGGATGTGACAACACAGTCTAACAAATCTCTGTGCCATTAATAATCAAATCTGGGCTAGGAAATCCAGTGATTGATATCATGAGCATTTATCCACAGTCACTGGATGTGACGACACGCAGTCAACCAAATCACTGAGCTAGGCTCCCTATCCAGTTGGTCCCAATAAGAAGCTGGTGATCAATTCTATCCCAGAATGCCCATGGGCCATGGAGTTCATGTATAAACAAGTATCACATTTCGCATTCCAGGCACCTCTCCAACAGAATTCCCAGCACTTGGGGCTGACATATCAGAAATCCATGTAATCAGAGTCACAATGCCAGGATGAATAAATATTGCTTCTCCCAGATGACGTCCATTTTTTAAGACCGAAATCCAAACAGAGAAAGAAATTAGATAGTCTCTATTCGTTTAGGATGACTTGTTGCTTAAAACAGAAATTAGCACCTCTTGCCAATAAGGAAACTTAATGCAGAGAGGCATAACTTTCCGAGTGACTGTGATGCAAAAACGTAACCAAGGACAATTTACGCTGGTCCTCTTGGCTAAATATCATAGATTGACTGATAATTATGGCTGAGAGCGTCACACAGACATCATAATTGTGTGATCTATAGTTATTTGGCCACAGAACTCGGATATTCATCATGAGTCCCAAAGGGGAGATGTCTAAAGGCATTGCAACTTTTCCAGGAATGTAACTCAAGTTTGTATTCTGTGTTAACACACGTTGCTGTGTTATAGCAGAGATTATTATATGGTCTCTGGTTATAGTGAATGTTATGTTTGTCATGGAACCTTTGCGACCCATTGTTATATATTTCTATAGTGATGTTGCATAGTCGCAATTCGGAGGGTTGTGCTTTTGAAACCAATATCTGGATATTGATCCTAGTGATGTGAATACATGAAATATTTAGATGTAATAAACATGACAAAGTCTTGCTCTTGAAGAAGCAAATGTCGTTTCTATTACTGGTACACAGGCAAAATGCAATATGTTCTTCATATAATATATGTCACAATGTGTCCTCGCCTTTCTGGTAAATTGGATAAAAAAGATTCATTATTGTGTTGTTAAACCTAATATCTTCACAGAAATTCATTCACCAATCATTTTCCCATCAATTTTGATGAACCATAGAACAGAAATGCAGTAGTGTTCTTGCTCATGTTGTTATCTCCCCCTGTATCCATGACAACAAAATGGTAGCAACTGTCTATGCTGACTTTACTATCATAATATTTACTTTAGTATGTATAAATAGGATCTGTATGTACAATGACTGTAAAACACTTTAGCTCTCAATATTTTGCAATACTTAATGCTATACACATTCCATATCTCAGTATATTTCAGTACAAATCTTTTGATGAAACACAGTCCTTAAGTTCCTATACACCAATCTTGTTGTAAATAATGGTTGATCTAAGGTCTGGAGTGTTTTATGGGGATTATCTTGTGTCATCTTTACCTCAAGAAATTGGTAAATCTTCTTTATTGACTTCGTGTGCATGACAAATATGCACTGTATGTACAGGCCATCTGATTCATAAAATGGGCTGTGGGGTAGCCTAGTGGTTAAAGCTACTTTCGCTCGTCATGTCGAAGACCCGGTTCGATTCCCCACATGAGCACAATGTGTGAAGCCCATTTCTGGTGTCCCCTGCCGTGATATTGCTGGAATATTGCTAAAAGCGGCGTAAAACTCAACTCACTCACTCAACACTTATTCATAAAACAACACCCATTCACTCCCCTTCCAAGAAACAAACTAGAACCAGCCATTGAAACAATGTTTTGATCATTTCACTGAGACAATTGTGATAGTTTCACATAGACTGTTGCAATCTTAATATACAGAGGCTAATTTGATCATTCTTCTGGGGCAGTATTGTGATAATTTTAGAGAGACTATTATGATGATTATACAAAAACTACTGTGATCATTTTACAGGGCTATGTGATCAATAAACTTAGACTATTGTGATCATTTTAATGACGCTATTGTGACCATTATACAGATACTAATTCATCATTATAATGGTTATATTCTGATAAAAGAACTTGGAAAGAACTATTAGTTCAACAGATGAAGTATCCAATTAATTGACCACACTGATAAATATCTGCTGTTGAAACATGTGAATTGCTTACAGATGCCACTTAGCAGTTAAGAACAAGGACGTGATTCCCAGTTGGGTATTAGGTGTGGTAATTATTCCTGATATCTATCACAATTCTCTGATATTGCTGGAATATTGCTGGAATATTGATGGAAATGTCCTTTACCCACAGGAATGTCTATCAGTGATGCTGTTGAGACTCTTGAGAACTATGAATTATTTAGGTATTGCGACATTGGCAAAGAATTTGAAAATATTGAATTTTTGTTAAGTATTTCAGGTGTTCCATAAAACACGGAAATTAAGAAATGCTAAATTTCTGCTGATGAAATAAACAGTCATGAGTGATATATTCATATTTTTTAAAGCATTGGTTCTAATAGTACTAATATTCATCAATCATTTCTTCAGTATATAGAAGATGATAAAGACAATAAGAATTTAATGCCTTTTATCAAATATTTTCAGATTCCCAATTGAACCCTTTGTAACAATTACTGTCATACAAAAGTATACTAGAGACAAGATTGAGGGTAAACCATTTCTGTGATATTTTTTCACATTGCATTTGATTTAATGACAATAATTATTCTTTTACTTTTATATCTCTAAGAAATAATAGTTGTGGGACATGAAACTGCACGGGTTTCATTGATCGCTATGATGATGAAACGGTGAATCATTTTTGGTCCATATCTGCCATGACCATCAGGTTGCATCTTTTTTTTTTCTAGACTCCTGATACGTTTACTGATTTCTAGTGCAAAGGTGTACCTTAGAATACCCTACAAGGTAACCTTATTTTGTTTCTATCTTCATACCAGAACAACTGAACAGATGGTGCTGAATGGTTGAAACATAGATATTGTCCTTTTTCTTTTCAATATGTACATGTGGGGTGGAACTACAACCAAGATGAAATACAGGGTTCAGCAAACCTTAGTTACGATTGCAATGGAACAAAAGCCTCTGAATCATCAGGTTACCATGGTTATTTATCCACATTTGATTATGTTTGAGTACATGAATGTTCCACTAAAAATAACACTAGTAATAAAGGGCAGGAACTCTGACAGAATGAACTACCTGTTGAAAAGTTTCATTAAAATGAGTCCTGAAGGAATTGTCTGGAAAATGTTTTTCTATGCACAGACATACTGATATACTAATTCCATAACACTGACTACCTTTGTTGTAGGTACAATAAATTAATAATCGGATAAAATTATATTCTTGAGGGCTATACGATTTGTAGTTTCTGAAAAAAGTGCTGAAGGAAGAATTAAAAATATTCCAAATAAATATTTAGACTAATTGCTTCATGAAGTGTTGTAACAAAGCATACACAAATAAGTTATTTACTTAAACCCAAATAAATGATTAAATTAAAATCTTATAGAAAATTTCAAATTTTGAGCAGTATATCAAAACAGATCCTGAATTGGTGTTTAGTTCTGATTTCATTTTCAAACAAGTTATTCTCCCAGCCCAAAACACGATAATAAATAATCTCATATTGGAAGCTAGGTTTTGGTTATAGGATATCAAACCGACCGTGAATTGATGTGTGGTTTTGATTTCATTCCAGGGGCTGGTTTTCACTGTTTGACCAACAGGAAGGAGCAGCCTGCCACGGCCACCAGAACGAGTAACTTCCTGTTCTTTTTTTCTGTCATAATAACTGTTTGTTTGTTTCACCTGTTACAGCAATGGCGTACTCAATGGATTTCTCAAAAGGTATTCAGCCAGCTTATAGGAAGTCTAGTATATCACAGGAAGCCATGTATTCACAAAGCCATTCCAGGTTGAATTCTGTACAAAAAAGTTAAATTTAATTACTTTTAAATGTATAATAAACAAGGATGTTTTAAAACATGTCAAATATCAAGGTTCTCATTTTATTGGAATTGAAATGTTAAGCATTTTTTTTCTGGATATTTAGTCTTTTAGTAAGGATGTTAATTTCCTAAAAACTTTTAAATGTTTAGGTTCCTGAAACTGTAACTAGATAACAGGAATCTGAAAATACTGTCATTGGTAAAGTTTGTGATATTGTTTACAAAAAATGGATGTAATCAGTATTATTTGAATACATTCCTGTTTTACTAAGATAATAAAATTGTAGATTTTTTAATTAAATACCTCCATGTTGTCATGACTATACATCCCCACAGAGCTGTCATCACACGTGACATTTGTAGATGAAAGATTATCTATGAACTAGTCTCAAGGAAAATCTTATTCTCAGGCGTAGTTCATCTACAATGGAATTTTAGATTTCTGAAACAATTTTAGTCGAAATTTTACTAGTCATTTTTTATAAATAAATTCCAATTTTCACAATGTTGAAATTATTTCTGAATTGATTTAGTGAAACAAGATTTGTAGAATTACCTGCAGTCTTAAGTAATTATTGAAAATGGTTGACAAGTGTTTTTCATACAGTATCTTGAAGACAGATTATTATTTTCTGAACAAATATTTCAAAGCTATTTCAATTTTGAACTTGGTTGTATGGCCAATAGTGTATATATTTCCAATTGGTTCTTTGATCTGAATAGAGTAACAGTATTGGTTACAAGATTAGTGAAAGCTTGAAAAGACGACTTCCCTTTCTTGCCAAACAATGGCAAAAAATATGATTACATGTGTTAAGAAAACATGTTTACATATGGCTGAATGCCTTGATAGTTTTCCTAATGATCCATCAACTTTGTTCGACAGTCTCAAATTTCAACTCAGATATCAGGATGAAACAATGGATTTGTTGAAAATAAATCTCCCTGAAGCTACGTTATTTGGTCCCTGTTCTGAACACGAACTTTTAAAAACCTTGCTTTGCGATTTACATTCCAAGGCAGGTGTTGGCGATGAAGAAACTATTTGTCAAAACTAATCTACATCACAAGAAGATGTCCAATTTCATTCTTTGCATTCTTATATATTGTGAAGGAAAAACCAATACATTTTGCATGATATATTTTTTAATATTTTAAAACATAGAATTTGCTTAATATTACAAATGAGAATATCGCTAACATATTTTGCCTGAAGCTTTTTAAATGGCTGATTAGTAGATGGCTTTGTGAATGCAGTTTTTGTACCCTGTTCTCTGTTATCTTTGGTTGTGGAGTAAGTGGTATGTGGCTATGTATGTGTTCTATATGTGGCGGGTGTTCCGTGTTGTTGATATAGCTCTAGGATTGTGAAGTCACGATGGACCTGCATGTTGCCAGCAAGTTGCCATGACAATGTGTGGAGCCATGTTAACAATTTGACAACAGTCATTGTTATTGACAAAAAGGATTTTGTTTTAATTTGTTCTCATTTATGTTACATTATTGTTCCCTGTAGTTAAGTAAGACACCTTTTGGTTCCCATAGATAAACCTCAACACCTTTTGCATCCTGTAGTTACAGTAAGACACCTGTTGGTTCCTGTAGATAAACCTTGACACCTATTGCCTCCTGTAATTACAGTAAGACACCTGTTGGTTCCTGTAGATAATCCTGGACACCTATTGCCTCCTGTAATTACAGTAAGACACCTGTTGGTTCCTGTAGATAAACCGTGACACCTATTGCCTCCTGTAATTAGTTAAGACACCTGTAAGACCACCTGTTGGTTCCTGTAGATAGAACCTGTTGGTTGACACCTATTAACACCTCCTGTAGTTACAGTAAGACACCTGTTGGTTCCTGTAGATAAACCTTGACACCTATTGCCTCCTGTAATTACAGTAAGACACCTGTTGGTTCCTGTAGATAAACCTTGACACCTATTGCCTCCTGTAGTTACAGTAAGACACCTGTTGGTTCCTGTAGATAAACCTGGACACCTATTGCCTCCTGTAGTTACAGTAAGACACCCTGGTTGCCTGACACCTATTGACTCCTGTAGTTACAGTAAGACACCTGTTGGTTCCTGTAGATTAACCTGGACACCTATTGACTCCTGTAGTTACAGTAAGACACCTGTTGGTTCCTGTAGATACCTGGACACCTATTGACTCCTGTAGTTACAGTAAGACACCTGTTGGTTCCTGTAGATAAACCTGACACCTATTGCCTAGTTACAGTAAGACACCTGTTGGTTCCTGTAGATATACCTAGACACCTATTGACTCCTGTTGTTTGTAATTACAGTAAGACACCTGTTGGTTGGTTTCTGTAGATTAACCTCAACACCTATTGACCCCTGTAGTTACAGTAAGACACCCTAGATAGACACCTATTGACTCCCTAGTTACAGTAAGACACCTGTTGGTTCCTGTATATACAGTAGACACCTATTGACTCCTTTAATTACTGTAAGACACCTAAACCTTGACACCTATTGACTCCTGTAGTTACAGTAAGACACCTGTTGGTTCCTGTAGATATACCTTGACACCTATTGACTCCTTTAATTACAGTAAGACACCTGTTGGTTCCTGTAGATGTACCTCAACACCTATTGCCCCCTGTAGTTACAGTAAGACACCTGTTGGTTCCTGTAGATAAACCTGGACACCTATTACCTCCTTTAGTTACAGTAAGACAGCTAGTGGTTCCCATGGTTACTGACACCAGCTGGTTCATGTAGTTAGTCAGACACCTACTGGTTCCCATAGTTACTGACACCTGCTGGTTCATGTAGTTAGTCAGACACCTACCTGTAATCTCACAGACTCTTTACAAACACAGCTTACTCTGTCATCAATGTAGACACAACTAAACACCAGCAAGTCATATTGATTATACAATTTCCTGCTTAATTGCATGCCAGAATCATGCTGGAAATATCTATGCAAACAAATGAACCACAAGCAATCACAATTCTATTTACCAAACAGTTGACAAAGTACAAGGTGCATTAGCCCGGAAACTGATATCAATACCAAACTTGACACGTAGTCACACACACAGCAAAGATACCAATGTAGGGAGCACTATATCAGTTTCCATTGATTGTCCAGTACAATGACCGATGTCCATTGACCCTCGTTCTTGACCCTCATTCTCATCCCAGGGTCGTTTCAACTGGGATACTCCCAGGTCCAAGGCTAACTTGTACTCTGATCAATTTCTGTTTGAATTATCCATTCATAATTAAAGAGATTCCTACATGTCGGTGATTGGTTAATTAGGACGTTTCATCTTCTGGGGGATGTCCAGCATCATCTAGGTCAGCATGGTAACACTATATGTATCTGTTTCACAGTGTTTGATAAAGGTAATATGTATGCAGTACCATGTATCTACACCATGTATCAGTTTGCTTGTCGGGGCGGTGGGGTAGCCTAGTGGTTAAAGCGTTGGCTCGTCACGCCGAAGACCCGGGTTCGAATCCCCACATGGGTACAATGTGTGAAGCCCATTTCTGGTGTTCCCTGTCGTGATATTGCTGGAATATTGCTAAAAGCGGCGTAAAACCAAACTCAGTCAGTCAGTCAGTTTGCTTGTCAAAGGATAGAAGCAACACTGTTATCAAAAGTTACACTGTATAATAATATATGTGAAGGGGCTACTTCACGCTGGAAATTGTCCAGAGATTTTAAAACACCAATGACTGTTGTTTAGTTAGTGTTGATTTCATCACAGCCTTTCTGTCCTGTGCCAAACATGCATGATCAATGTTTCCCTCATCAGGTGTCTAGTAATTAGCGGTACGCATAGAAGATTGTCTCCCCTTTCATATCCCCCTCACAGAATGAAGACAAAATATCTGGCAGATGAATGTCATTATTATAACTCCAACATTTAATCTACAATAAATCAAGAAAGTTGTTTCTTTGAACATATCCACTCCGCTGTAACTGTATAAAACAGTTGAAAACCATTTCATTGGGAAAAGATACTACTTGCCTTAACACTTATATATATATATACATATATATATATATCAACATAAAGGGAATAGTGACAAGTTTTTGCCAGATATTTTGTTTTGACGGATGTAATTATGTGTATTTTGGTCAACAGTTTAATTTGTTTAGGACGTAGTTGTCCTAGGTGGTCAAGGTTTGAAGTGGTTGATGTTATGCATCTGAGGGGTGTTTGGAATACTTTTTGTATAATGAGTTTTCCGAAAGTATTATTTTGTGGGTAAACCAACTCTGGTTAATATTCCAACAACCTCTCCAAGACCCGGGTTCGAATCCCCACATGGGTACAATGTGTGAAGCCCATTTCTGGTGTCCCCCGCCATGATGTTGCTGGAATATTGCTAAAAGTGGCGTAAAACCAAACTCAGTCAGTCAGTCAGTCCAACAACCTCTTTTTCTCTGTGGTGTCATGTGACTTGTTCTTACTGATATGCTTGTGCAATTCTGAACAAAATGGAACAGGATTCTTTTAAACTTGTTATTAACTTTTGCCTTCTATTAAGTGTACATTTAATATTGTGATAGTTTTTCTTCATACTAACATTTTAAATGTAAATTTTCTTAATCTTTCAAGTTTCCAATTTTCTTAATATTTCTTGCTGTTTGCTTGTTTCAACTCTTATTAACACCTTTTTTGCAGAGGAAATGAGTGTTTAACAGTATTTGTCATGGTATTTCTGTAATTTCTATTCTGATCATGGAATTATTTGGTTCAGATTTGACACAACAGTCTAAAATCAATGTTTGATTTCAGATTTGAGAGACCTGATCGTAAAATGGTTGCTGAACACGTCCAGCCCTCTTCCAACTCGCAAACCGCCCTGAACCAGTCGCTCGGCATTAACCAAACTCCTCGCGAGTCCTACCAAACTATGGGGATAACTCGGGTAAGATTTGACCCAATCTAGGTCAGCGTGCACTGTGTATAATTATTTATAGTCTGTCGACTCTGTCGCCTCAAGGTGATGCTCACGCCAGACGTGGAAGATTAAAGAGATCGAGAGTCACCAGACGGCATTAAAGTTTTAAAAGTTTACGGGGCAGATTTAAGTTGTTTATCACCAAATTGACTTGGAAGCAACACTGTAGAGTTCTGTGAGCTGCTGATTGATATCAGGATTGAATAATACTGAGGAGTGGTTTTCACGATTTCTGTCCTGAAACATCTTGGTTAAACGTCTGCTGGAAATGATGTGTGCAGATGTTTTGCTTTGAGTGCAGACTTAAGGCTTAGAATCATCATTCTGTGCCAGATTCAATTGGCTCATTACATGGTCATTCTTGACCAGTTTCCTTGGTCATTAAAGGTCAGCATTGGTCCTGAGTAACCCATCTTTGTCATAACAGACGTTGGGTCATCAAGTGACCACTTGGTAGGAGGAGGACATTTGTCTGTCATCAAGTGGAAGGACAAGTCTTGTCTGGAAATAACATTGATTACAACAGGGTTTGGTAGCCTAATGGCTAAAGTGTTCGCTCATCACACTGAAGACCTGGGTTCAATTCCCCACCATGGGTACAATGTGTGAAGCCCATTTCTGCTGTCCCGGCGCTGTGGTTTTGCTGGAATATTGCTAAAAGCGGCGTAAAATCATACTCACTCACTACAAGAGTGTTTGGTTTCACTGAATAGTTTCATGCCATCATTTTATCTGTACCAGGATCAGGTCCCACAGCATGGTTGAATCCCAGATTCACTTTGATTAAGTTCCTTTTTTAGTTATATTCATAATCATGAGTTTCACAACATTGAATGTGATATACCTTCCTTTTTCTTCTTACATTTCTTACATTAAGTCATCAAATATCACTAACATTATTTTAAAGCAGCAATATATCCAACCTTTTCGCTCACCCAAAAGAATTTTAATTCAACAAATCGAAAAGTCTCCAACTTTTTTGGAAAAGGAACTGAATTTCTTTACGTTTCATTTCATTTGCAAAAAGACTAACAAATCATTCTAGGAAAACCGATTTGAAGTGTAAGATTGTGTCTGTTTATATAATCGCAGGATGCAGGATAAATTCACTTAACAGGTTTTATTTTTTCCGCTTTGACTGAAATGTCTCTCAAGGAAACCTAGTTTCTCAACTCCAGAAGCAGTTCAATGTTGGCTAGATGGCGGAGACAATATACATGCGTTCTTAAATCTTATACTTGAGACTAGGGTGTACTTAATCCTGTCTCTACAGCTTTGTTCTCAGAAGTATTTACCCAAATGTCAGGATTTTGTTTGCGATGGATCAACTGAGTTTGTCAATAATATTGACATGAAGCTTTTTCAATAATACGTGTTAGTACTGCAGCAATTGATCAAATATTCGGACAACCGATCAATCTCACTTGCCTCATTGATTATCGATTGGCTCTGGAGACTAATCGATATTCATAAAACCTGAAACATCAAATTAAACTTTAGAATATATGTATCTTATTGTTATGTTTGTTAAATCAAGATATAAACAGCTAAAGCAGTTTCCTGACTCGTAAAGCTGCAATATAAACAACATTCTCTCGTGCGTGTCACAACAGGAAGTATTCACTGTCATCGTAATTGTGATATTAATCGGTGCCTGTTTCGGTTGCACAATGTTATGATTCTGTCCCATTATTGCCCACATGTGTTTTGTGGTGGGGTTTACGATTACAAATGATTATTGATCGATTACTGAGCTCCTCAGGGGTGGAAATAACTTTAAAATTGCTAGTGTACTCCGGAACAGTGGCACATGTAAAATCACTTGCCCTGATAATTTTTCCACTATACCGGCCGTTTTCTTGTTGATTTTTTAAAATAAACAACATAATTAACATTGGAAAGTCAACTGGACACTGGTACAGTGTGATATACAAATTTGCTTGCCCGACAGAAAAAAACACTGGACTCGGACGTCGGGCAATGGGTTATTTCCAACCCTGCTCCTTTTATCAATCTGCGTATTGTGAGCGATAACCAGCACTAACATGTGCAGCTGAACAACATCATGCCATTGGCAGACCAGGTAGAAATGATTCCTGTGTTTTATCCAGGCTGTAAGTGCTGGTTAAAATGTGGATCGGGTGGTCACAATGTATGACTGGTTCAGCGTCATCATTCCCCAAGGGATGGTTGGGTAGTGGTTAAAGTGTCCGCTCATCATGCCAATGACCCAGGTTCAATTCCCTACATGATTTATGCCCAGAGTGGCCTTTTCCACAGTTGCCCTGAGTTTTCATCCTCACTTTCAATCCATTCTGCCTACCAGGTACAATCTCTCCCTTTAGAGCCATGGCTGACATGACCAGCATTCACCCAGAAGTCTACTTATAGCATAAATTCAACAAAGGATAAGCACACACAAAAATTAAAGATTAATTATTACACATGCTTCCTCCTCAACTATCTGAGAAATCAGACCATTAATGGTAACCAGACTCTCCCTTTGTACTCTGAAGCTATCACTTTGCTGACAGCATCAGCAGTTACCTTCTAATCACAGTAACCCGTGAAGGTCTGGGTTAGAATATTGATCTTCAGCAACCCATGCTTGTCGTAAGAGGCGACTAACGGGTCGGGTGGTCAGGGTCGCTGGCTTGGTTGACACATGTCATCGGTTCCCAATTGAGCAGATCGATGCTCATGCTGCTGATCACTGGATTGTCTGGTCCAGACTCGATTATTTACAGACTGCCGCCATATAGCTGGAATATTGCTGAGTGCGGCATAAAACTAAACCCACTCACTCACTCTAGTCACAATAGCAGATTAACTCTTTGTTTTGACAACTACACTCTTGTTCCCACATGGGCCCCACTTTCACACCTTAACGAGTTGGAATATTGGTGGAATATTGCTGAAGGCAGCTTAATACTAAACTCACTCGCTCATACACAATAGTCATGACCACTGCTCATACTATCGACCACTAGTTGTCTGATCCAGGTTAATGTGACATAACACAATGCTCTGTTTTATGTCAATAGTTGTTAAGGGAACTTAGTAAAGTTTTAATTGCTAAAATGTATAACTTAAAAAAGAAATGTTTTTCCTTTAGCCCTGAGATGTATTTTTTATCAAACTGTTTGTAGACTAAAATGTGCATCAAGGGTACCAGGTTATTCAGTCAAGAAACATCCTTCAACAATTATTAAACTTGAGAGTCAAGTTTTTCCCAGGAGATCCAGAAATACTTTTATCAAAAGCTGAAATAATGCATGGTAGTTGGGCTTTGTCTAGTCCATCTCCACTGAGCGACCAGAAAGCAATGTGGCACAAAATTACAGAAAAGGAGACATTTCTTTTGGCAGGATTGTAGAAGAACGTAAATCCACGTAAAACATCTCAAGTGTAAGCACTTGTCGCAGAGGACAGGAGTTTTGTTAATGGCTGTCAGTGTTGAATCCATCGATTCTATTTCATGAATATTTTATATACTGATAAGAAAATCCTGTCAAGTTGCAGGAAATCATGGTATTGAATGCGGATTTCAGTGTTTGCAATTGTTGTGTGAGACATTCGCTGCCTCTACTAAAGCAGACATTTTCAAAGGAGGCTATTTTTCCAATTTTAACCGTGGGTTGTTGTGCATTCTGTGGTCCGTTGGTGAAATTAACATTCAAACTGAAAAAAGGGAAATACGTCACATTGCCAAAAAATTGTACCAAAAAATATATAAAATTTATCTTGAATCGTTTTTAACTTTAAAAAAATGTTTAAAAAAAAGAGTGTTTCTGTGGTATTAGTGCTCCACTTAAAGTCCAGCATGTTGGTAGTTTTATATTGACCCTGAAACTATTTTTTCAAATTGACAGCTGATTGTATTAAAGAAACAAGTTCAGCATGTGCCTGCTTGTGTTTATTGGTATTCCGCATGTCTCTTTCATTACCTTTGCTTCCAAAATTAAATTTTAGGGAATAGGCTAGAAGATTTTCTCTTAATATGTAACCTTAAATGGGTGGATAAAAGTGTCTGTCTCAAGAGAACATTGTAATATTTGTATGTTGGCGTTATAAATGAAGATAAATGAAAAGAGCAGATGTCCCATCAGCTACATCATGGAAGGCTGTTTTGAAAAGATGAGTAATTGTTCATAAAAGTGGTCTTTTAGTAGTGGTAATCGATAAAGTAAATAATAAAGTGGTAATTTGTTTATACAATATTATTAATCAGAAAGTGGTAATTAATATGTAATTGATTAATAAATTGGTAATTAATAATAAGTAACATTAATTAATAAAGTGGTAATTAAGAATGAGTGAGTGAGTGAGTTTAGTTTTACGCCGCACTCACCAATATTCCAGCTATATGGCAGCGGTCTGTAAATAATCGAGTCTGGACCAGACAATCCAGTGATCAACAGCATGAGCATTGACCGATTGAGCACAATTGGGAACCGATGACATGTGTCAACCAAGCCAGCATGGGTTACTGACGGTTCATTCTAACCCGGACCTACACGGGTGGTAATTAAGAAAGCGGTAATATATCCATAACATAATATTTTAATCATAAAATGGCAATTGATTCATACAATGGTAATGAAGTCACAAAATGGTAATTAATTCATAAAGTGGTAATTTATTCACTTGTCCTTTGAAATAAAAACAACAATTTGACTTTCATTCTCTGATTGTCAGCTGAACCGAACACACTGGCAACAGATGGACAAAACTTATATTGTTAAAGCACTTGTGATGGTTAAAAGTTTGAATTTGATAAACATGAACACACATCTGCAGCAGATCTCCTTCAGGGATCACGTTAGCCAGATCAAGCACCGTATCCATGACATGAGGGACGAGTTTATTCAGTCAGTCAGAGGAACCATATATTTGCATGTAGGATTTGGGCCACAGGGAGATATATCCCAGACAGATTTAGATTTACTTTGTCAATACTTTACACACTTTACAAAGCTCTGATTAGAATAACTGGATTTCACATGCAATGTCAAAGCAATTTGCATCTTGGTTTTGACAAGGTGGATGTGCTCACTTCCAAGATGGTATGTAAAGCTAGTTATTTTTTTGTCTTTCAAGATGGTTTGTTACACTAGTTTTTGTTGTGAATGTTTATTATGTTTACTGCAATGATCAAAATGTGTTTATAAAGTTATTAGCTGTCCTCAGCTTTAGTGTAGTATAGAGTTATTGGAAGATGAAGAACACCTGATTTTTACATTGGACAGTAGTTAATCTTGTAATTAGTGTTACTTAGTGTAAGTCAATTTTTTCTGGTTTTACTTATTTAAATTTAAGTTTGATTATTGAAAAAATATACATTTTATGCATCCAAAATGAGCTGTTCATGAAGACAATACTCTCGATTACAATATCTCAACATAAATAAATATATGTATAGTGTTGTTTTTTTACTACTATGTGCTAACTCTGTTGGTGTGAAGGGGTTTGTAAAAGTTTGGCAAAGCTTTATAATATGTCTATTTTATCATTTCTTTAAATGGGGTGCTTCTTTAGAAGATTGTGTCTTATTACAATTCAACTAGATCAACATGAGCAAACTTTGCAGTTACTCTGTAGACACTGTGGACCTAATGTAATTTCTGGACATCATTATGCAAATATTGTTACATACAGTGCTACATACATTGTTGCATATATTGCTACATACAGTGTTACATACAGTTTTACATACAGTGTTACATACAGTGTTGCATATATTGTTACATACAGTGTTACATATATTGTTACATACAGTCACACATACAGTGTTACATACAGTGTTACATACGTTGCTGAACACATTGTTACATACAGTGTTACATTGTTGCATATGTTGCTGAACACATTGTTACATACAGTGTTACATACAGTGTTACATATGTTGCTGAACACATTTTTACATTGTTACATACAGTGTTACATATATTGTTACATGCATTGTTACATACATCGTTACATTGTTACATACATTGTTACATACATTGTTACATACAGTGTTACATACAGTGTTACATACGTTGCTGAACACATTGTTACGTACAGTATTACATACATTGGTGCATAGATTTGTACATACATTTTTACATGCATTGTTACACACATTGTTACATACAGTGTTGCATACAGTGTTACATACATTGTTGCATCCATTGTTACATGCATTGTTACACACATTGTTACATACAGTGTTGCATACAGTGTTACATACATTGTTACATGTATATTGGTGCACACATTGTTACATACATTGTTACATACAGTATTACATGCATTGGTGCATACATTTTTACATACATTGTTACATAGTGTTACATGCAATGTTACATGCATTGCACACATTGTTACACACATTGTTACACACATTGTTACATACATTGTTACATACAGTGTTACATACATTGTTGCATCCATTGTTACATGTATTGTTACACACATTGTTACATACAGTATTACATACATTGTTACATACAGTGTTACATACATTGTTGCATCCATTGTTACATGTATTGTTACACACATTGTTACATACATTGTTACATACAGTATTACATGCATTGGTGCATACATTTTTACATACATTGTTACATAGTGTTACATGCATTGTTACATGCATTACACACATTGTTACATACAGTGTTACATACATTGTTGCATCCATTGTTACATGTATTGTTACACACATTGTTACATACAGTATTACATACATTGGTGCATACATTTTTACATACATTGTTACATAGTGTTACATGCATTGTTACATGCATTACACACATTGTTACACACATTGTTACATACATTGTTACATACAGTGTTACATACATTGTTGCATCCATTGTTACATGTATTGTTACACACATTGTTACATACAGTATTACATGCATTGGTGCATACATTTTGACATACATTGTTACATAGTGTTACATGCATTGTTACATGCATTGTTACATGCATTACACACATTGTCACACACATTGTTACATACATTGTTACATACAGTGTTACATACATTGTTGCATCCATTGTTACATGTATTGTTACACACATTGTTACATACAGTATTACATACATTGTTACATACAGTGTTACATGCATTGGTGCACACATTGTTACATACATTGTTACATACATTGTTACATGCATTGTTACATACATTGTTATATACTTTGTTCCTTACACTGTTGCATATATTGTTTCATCATCATCATCATCATCATCATCATCAAACTAGATGGATACAGAAAACAATATCCCAAGGAATGCACAGTAATATTTTTTATAGCAAATTCTTGACAAGAATTATAAAGGTCCCATAATGAATATAATTATCAAATCTGATGTACAGTACACTACTATTTAATTGCTTTACAGAACCTTTGTATTTCCTGTAAGGATCCTAATTACTGGAGCTTTCCTTGAACCCATGTAACTTAAAGTAAAACCCTCACAAACTAATAAAATGAGACAAACCTTTTTAATCATGCGTCTAGCCCCTGGGGTCAGACATGGAAACATCACATCATTTGTCAACTTAGGTCAAAGATTCATCTTAGCCAGATAACAGGGTGGAAGATACATTTATCTGACAAAGCACTGGGAGAACTGCACATAAAAACAACAACAGGATTTATATCTTCATACCAATTTGGTCAGACCTACATACCTGTTGTATGGCTGTAATGACTTTGTAGACTGTTTAATCATTGTGTTGGACTTGGAAGGTAAATATGTCAAAGTCCATGATGGAAACTCTGTGACTGTTTGCAGATAATGGCTGATATTTGACTCAAGGCAAGTTGAAGGCCACATACATTGCACATGTGATGAATTCTACCTATCTCAGGTTTCTAAACATCCCTGAAGGGATTTGAATCAGGTTCAATCTGTTGAGGTTATCAAAAACAAGAGTCTGTGATGGAGACATATGGGTCAAGATGGTGCTAGCCTTCTCATTTCTTCTCATGAAAATTTGAAGGAGATTGGATTTTTGTTCTTTAAGATAAGATTTTGTCATCACCATTAGTATCAAACTTTCTGATATACAGTCGATCTGCCACAATTCGCTCTGTGAAGTTGCAACCCTCAGGTATTCCAGAATCCAATGTCTGTGTATTTGAATCCAAAGATCGCCCTTATTATGATTCTTAATTGGTCAGCATCAAAACTTTGCTCACACTAAACAGGTGAGCAGCTAAAATGGACTATACCTTTGTCATATTGCCTTCAAAGAAAAGACAGGTGATTATAACGAAACACTGCTACACTAACCATGATGCTATAAAAACTCACTCACTCACTCACTCAACAACTCACTCAACAACTCGCTCACTCAACCACTCAACCACTCCCTTACTTGCTTAACCACTCACTCACACAATCACTCACTCACTCAACTCACTCACTCACTCAACCACTCACTCAACCACTCACTCAACCACTTTTGGGTTTTATCAATGACACTTTCCAGCTCCATGTCCACTATGGTCACTCATCTGGTCACTTCCTGTTTCAGGGCATGAGCTTGTCCAGCCAGAGTCGGTCAGCCTCGGAGGAGGAGGGAGAGTCGAGTGTATGGAAGGGTGTGCGGAGCTTTGCCACGATGCTCATGGACGACAGCCCCCCAGAAGAGAATGAAGCTCCTCTTGTGGAGGGTGTGGATTACAAACTAGGAAAACTACAGTTCGGACTTGGTTATGATTTCCAAAACTTGACTTTAACCCTGAAGATTCTTCGTGCTACGGGTTTGCCTGCCAAAGATCTCTCCGGTACCAGTGATCCTTATGTGAAAATTATGTTGCTTCCGGACAAAAAACACAAATTGCTAACAAAAGTGAAAAAGAAAAACTTGAATCCTCACTGGAATGAGTGTTTCTTGTTTGAAGGTAAGACATTTTAAGCATCTTCCAAAACTACATCACATTTTGCTTGCTCTCACCTAAGGGGTAGGCAATAATACCGGTTAACTGGTATATTGCAATTCAAACTTCACAATACGATATATTGCTGTACACTTTTCGCAAACTGGTTCTCCTGATACGATTGGTAATTTTCGTGTTGTAGTCAAAACTACTAACAACATTTGTATTTCCTTTATATTATTATACATTAATAGCTTTGAGAATGTTTATTGGTCATATAATTGTGTGACTTTTAAACTATATAAATAAAAAATAGATTGGTACCGGCACTTGTTGTAAGGATAAACAAACCAAAATGGCAGACGCTGCTGCAGATGCTTTTTCTCGAGTTCCACACTTAAGAGTGAAGTTTTCAATATGGAAACATTTTCATTTGATCTCTTGTACAGTCACATCTGAGTCCCGACAGTGGCCAGTGGTATTGTTTTGAAAGAATTTTTTTTAGTTACTGGAAACAGTAATTTAATTACGTTAACCCATGTTAGTGCAGTGGCTTAGGGTGAAAATAGATACTTGAAACTTTGCATAGTGCTGGGGAATATCATAATAAAACATATTTTGGGGGGTGCGTCCAAGATGGCAGCCAAAAATCAAGGATTTCCAATTTTAACACTATATGACTTTCCCTCTGCTGGATTATAGCAGAAAACCTTGCACAGTGCTTGGGAACATAATGTTAAAACATATTGTTTGGGTGTGCCCGGTTTTATGGGCCCATTTTCCAAAAAATCCAAGATGGCGTCCAAGATGGCCCCCTAAAATCAAGGATTTCCAATTAACACTATTGTGACTATACCCCGCTGGATTAAAGCAGAAAACCTTGCACAGTGCTAGGGAACATCATGATACAGCCTATTTTTGGGGTGTGCTCGAATGTTTGGGCCTATTTTCCCCAAAATCCAAAATGGCCGCCAAAAATCAAAGAGTGCTGAAGTCCACCCAGAAAGGTCGCCGACTATAAAAAAATATTCATTTGTTGCAATATGTGAGATATATTTGCTGTTCAAAGGGCTATTTTAATACTTTCAATAAATATAACAAACAAGATTTATATGTAGTAGTAAAATATACAATTCATCATCCAATTAATGAAAAAGTTACTGTTTTGATCAGTCATGTGACATCAATTTGTCAAACATCGATCTCTGTGATTCTGAAGTCTCCTTTAACAGTTCCCATTGAAGTTACAGAGACGATGTTCATAGAAGTTGAGAAGATTTACAAATGCACTTCTTTGAGCATAGAGGTTGAGACTTGCAGCCACATTTGATAATGTTATTGATAATGGTACCAGCGAAAAACCTATTTCAATAGACACTATTTCAAGCTCTTCCAAATGACACTTCCAGGCAGTTGTATAGTTCCTGCAGTAGCCTGCAATGTGGAGAGAGTTAATGTGCCTATAACTCACCATCAAGTAGAAGACAAGATCACAAAAACTAAGAAGAATCTTCGATCAACCACTGCATTGGCCTTCTTCTTTATGTGTTACACTTTCACAATATATTGCAATACATATTGCAATACGCCAAACACATATCACAATATATCGCAATCGCAATATATCGAAATTTTGGCAATACCCAACCCTACCTCACTTGGGTTATATTAAAAGTGAACTGAACTGGTTCTATGCAACCTGAACTTCTGCAATGAGGATTGGGTGTACACAATGGCTGCTTGATATGAATATATACTATGACCTATACTGTGCCATGACATACTGATACAATGCATTACTGGCTTGGGGTTTTGATATACCTGAAATACTGTTGACAGCACGGTAAAACATCATTCAATCACCAGAGGGCAAGGGAAGCCAAGTCACCTAGGATGTTGTAATTTGGTGTGCAGACCTGATCCTTTTCTCGAATGACCGTTGGTTTAAATCCCAGATGATGATATGGTTTGATGTCACCATTACTTGATGGTTGCAGCATCTGTTTAAAACCTGCATCACTTCCCTCCCATCAAGCTGATATGCTGTGATACGATATGCTGATATGCTGTCATACGATATGCTGATATGCCATGATATGATATGCTGATATGCCGTGATATGATATGCTGTCATACGATATGCTGATATGCCATGATATGATATGCTGATATGCCACGATAAGATATGCTGATATGCTGATGATATGCTGATATGATAAGATATGCTGATATGCGTGATATGATATGATATGTGATATGATATGCTGATATGCCGTGATGATGCTGTGATACGATGTGCTGATGCCATGATATGATATGCTGATATGCGATAAGATATGCTGATATGCCGTGATATGATATGCTGATATGCCCGCGATAAGATATGATATGATATGCTGATGATGCCATGATATGATATGCTGTGATACGATATGCTGATATGCCATGATATGATATGCTGATATGCCATGATATGATATGCTGATATGCCATGATATGATATGCTGATATGCCATGATATGATATGCTGTGATATGATATGCTGATATGCTGTGATACGATATGCTGATATGCCATGATATGATATGCTGATAAGCCGTGATATGACATGCTGATATGCTATGATATGATATTCTGATATGCCGTGATATAATATGCTGATATGCTGCTGTAACTGAAATACTGTTCAAAGTGAGATGGGGGGCAGTGGGGTAGCCTAGTGGTTAAAGCGTTCACTCGTCACGCCGAAAACCCAGGTTCGATTCCCCATATGGGTACAATGTGTGAAGCCCATTTCTGGTGTCCCCTGCCGTGACGTTACTGGAATATTGCTAAAAGCGCCGTACAATCATACTCACTCACTCAAAGTGAGTTTCTACCCAACATTTTGACACACTAGGAGTAGTAGCCTAATGGCTAAAGCATTCGCTTGACAAACTGGGCCCAGATTTTCGCAGCTCTCTATGGAACTTATGACCATCTTAACACTAGGAGAGCTTTGAAAATCTAGGTCCTGATTCTCTACGTGCATGCTAAGCTAACTCCCCACATGGGTGGTGTCTGCTGATATTGCTGCTATGTTGCCAAAAATCGCTTCAAACCTGGCTGATTCACTCACTCACTCACTTATTCACCCTCTCGTTACAGCTACCTAAATGACCCAGTAACAACTAACTGGATTCATATTAAAACGACCCGCGAAGGTCCGGGTTAGAATGAACCTTCAGTAACCCATTCTTGTCGTAAGAGGCGACTAACGGGATCAGGTGGTCAGACTCGCTGGCTTGGCTGACACATGTCATCGGTTCCCAATTGCGCAGGTCAATGCTGATGCTGTTGATCACTGGATTGTCTGGTCCAGACTCGATTATTTACAGACTGCCGCCATATAGCTGTGCAGTGTAAAACTAAACTCACTCACTCACTCATATTAAAACATTGTCACTAATAATTTTTGATTTGGAAGCAAATTAAGCTCCAGAAACCAATGCTTTTCATAAGCAGACATTCAATAGTATTTTATAAAACATCTGATACTGGGTTGATTGAGCATCATCCTGCCCCGAACGCCTCCGTGGTGTAGTGGTTAGAGCGTCCGCCCGGAGAGTGGAAGTTCGTGGGTTCGATCCCCGACCGCGTCATACCAAAAGATGTTAAAATATGGTACTTGTTGGTCCCTGCCTGGTGCTCGGCATTAATGGGTACAACAAGGACTGGTCGGCTCGGAGTCAGTATAATGTGTCTGAGTGGGGTATTCATGCTTCACTGCGGCATGGTATCTCAGTGAGCTAGCACTATAAAACCAGCTTAAGTCTGGGCTAGTACAAGCAGCCGCACATACACATACACACGCATGCACGTCGTCATATGAGCGAAATATTCTCAAGCACAACATCAAACCCAATTTCACCTCACCTCATCCTGCCCCTGTTACATTCCCTTAAGAGCTGACTGTTGCGGATCTGGGCCCCACCGCAACACGGAACGGGGACTATGTATTCAGCGGCGTCCGTCCGTCCGTACACGTACGTCCCAATTCTTGTTAACGCGAGATCTCATGAACTGTTGTACCCAATGTCTTCAAATTTGGTGACAGCCTATATTGGAGAATTACCCAGACACCAGTCGATTTTGTTGACCTCGACTATATTTTCAAGGTCACCAACGACAATTTGAACGCTTTTCAAACTCTTGTTAACGGGATATCTCATGCACTGTTGTACCCAATGTCTTCAAATTTGGTGACCGCCTACATTGGGGATTATGCAGACTCAGTTGATTTGGGTGACCTTGACCTTATCTTCAAGGTCACCACGACACTTTGACCACTTCTCAAACTCTTGTTAACACCGGAATATCTCATAAAACATTGCACCCAATGTCTTCAGTTATGTCGACAGATTACATTGGGTGATTATACAGACACCACCAGTCATTTCAAGCATCTTGTATGTGACCCAAAAATAAAAAGTAGTAGATGTGTTATAAATATTCCATTCTTTAGCGGCCGGGGACATTGCCATATCAGTGGCAAACACTTGTTATGTTTATGTTCAAACATAGTCCATGGTGCCAGTACCACATAATGATGAGAAAAGTCATTCATCAAGGAAGAAGTCACACTACTGTCTCGACGTTGATCTTTCTAGGCCATGCTTGTGTCAAACAAACAAAATGTCTGTGTCCCAACCATCCCATATGCATCTTACATGTAGGTCATGATGTGAAGGAATGGCTTCTCTTGGCCTCCAAACTGACTTTCCTTCGTCCCAGGGAAAGATGCTTCTGCAAGCCTAACACAGCGTGAAGAGAATGAAAGCTTTCACAGCGTGTACTCTCTCGTGATGATAACTCACATATGACAGCTTTGAAGATGCCAATTTCAATAGCTTCATTGACTGATGGTTCCTTGAATTGATGTTTCTGATGAAGAATTTAACCCTTTCTGTGTACCCTTCAAAAGTAGAAGTTAGATTTTAATAACACTGATAGCCGGAGGCTACTTGATTTCTTTTTCATTTTGG